TTTCACATTAGAGCTGAGATGTAATGATTTCATGACAGAATTGCTTACTGTTGTTCTTGCTAAAAGGAGAAACTGAGGGCCACCTGGGTGGCTCAGTGGGTTAAGGCCTCTGCTTTTGGCTCAGGTCATGATCTCAGGGGCCTGGGTTCCAGCCCCACATTGGGCTCTCTGCTCCATGGGGAGCCTGCTTCCCCCTCTCTCTCTGCCTGCCTTTCTGCCTACTCGTCATCTCTTTCTGTCGAATAAATAAATAAAATCCTTTTAAAAAAAGAAGGAGAAACTGAGGTTCTGGTGGGAAGCAGGCTTATAGCTTCTTCCCTCTAACGTCCCTTTTGACCTTCTCCAGCTGACACCTGTCCTTTATCTCTGAGTGCATGTTCAGACAGGGAGTAAAGTCATGGCAGTGCCTCACTCTTACCTCCATCATTTCAATCCCATTGCCCATCCAAATAAAAATAAATTTTTAAAAAAGATTGTATGTATTTATTTGAGAGAGAGACAGAGCACGAGCAGAGGGAGGCCTTAAAGGAGAGGCAGACTCCCCGCTGAGCAGAGAGTCCAACACAGAACTCCATCCCAGGACCCAGGATCATGACCTGAGCTAAAGGCAGACGCTTAACTGACTGAGCCACCCAGGTGCCCCTCTTTTCTTTTTTACTTTTGAGGGGTAGCCTTGACTGACTGCTTCCTCTGCTCTTTGGAAAACAGACCTGTCTTGCAGCCTTTTAAGCATAGAAGCCTTCCGTTTGTTAATAGAAACTTCAGAGAAATCTTAAAGAGGAGATAGAAGATTTTAGACACTGTGGCCCACAGGGTGGTTCTTATGAAGTCCTGATTCATTTAAATAATAGGAAATAATCACTGTTACAATAAGCTTTATTGTAGAGGTGCCGGGGTGGCTCAGTCATTAACCGTCTGCCTTCGGCTCAGGTCATGATCCCTGCGTCCTGGGATCGAGCCCCACATCAGGCTCCCTGCTCCTCGGGAAGCCTGCTTCTCCCTCTCCCGCTTCTGCTGCTTGTCTCTCTCTCTCTGTCAAATAAATAAATAAAAATTTTTAAAAAAGTTTACAATAAGATTCATTGTAATCATCCTAATGTATTTTTAATGTGATCCATAGCCGTTCATTGAGACTCAGCTCCCACATCAGAGCTTACTCCCTGCTGAAAGTCCTCCTCGAAAAATTCCTCTCTTACATTTTCAGAGTGCTGTGTTCTCCAGCTATTATTGCCCACTGTTCATATTAATGTCACATGGAATGTGTTGCCTCGTTATTGCCCGAGGGCTCCAAATCACAGCTGGCCCAGATGATGAAGCACCGATGTAATGAATTAATTTATCTTAGAGCATCTCCTCCTGCTTGAAGGCTATGCAAATCCTTCAGCATTTGCTTGAGCAATAAGTTGTCCTTAATAATCGGATTTTTTATTGTTTTTAAGAAGAGACAAGTATATCACAACCCATGTAAAACCATCTCAGCCTTCTTAGTATTTATTTCTCTTTCTTTCAACTCCCATTAAGCAAATATTTTGAGCTGCTTGATAAAGACGACCATAGATTTTGGAGCATCGATGTCCCTGCAGACCGTTGGCATTTCCCCTCCCTCCCTGGGTTTCTAGGAATGAATGGGTTGATGCATTGGATGCCTTGTAGGTAACAGACCCAGGTGTGGGTTCTGAGGGATTGTCTGGCACCACGCTCTGGGGGTGCCAGATTTAGCAAAGTAAGCTTAAAAAACAGAGAGTGCTCTGTCCACTTTGAATTTCAGATGAGCAGTGAAAATTTTTTAGTATAAGCCTAGCCCAAATATTGCATGGGGTATACTTATACTGAAAAATGTATGCATTGTTCATCTGATATTTTAAAGGTAACTGGGCCTCCTGTATTTCACCTGACCACCACCCTAATCGCTCCCCACCCCACTTTCCTGCTTCCGGTCTCCAACTTTGCTCTAGTATTCTAACAAATTTGGTCAAGGGAATGGTGTAGGAACCATCAGGGAAATTTTTTTTTCTTTTTTTCATAACGAAGGCCACAATTTCCTCTAGGCAGCAATCAGGTTTTTTTTTTTTTCTTCTAGATTTTATTTATTTATTGACAGACAGAGATCACAAGTAGGCAGAGAGGCAGGCAGAGAGAGAGAGAGAGAGAGAGAGAGAGGCAGGCTCCCTGTCCAGCAGAGAGCCTGATGCAGGGCTCAATCCCAGGACCCTGGGATCATGACCTGAGCCAAAGGCAGAGGCTTTTTAACCCACTGAGCCACCCAGGCACCCCAGGTTTTTGTTTTTGTTTTTTAATTAACATATAATGTATTATTTGTTTCAGGGGTACAGGTCTGTGAGTCATCAGTCTTACACAATTCACAGCACTCACCATAGCACATACCCTCCCCAATGTCCATAACCCAGCCACCCTATCCCTCTCCCCGACCCCTGGCCCCCCAGCAAACCTCAGTTTGTTTCCTGAGATTAAGAGTCTCTTACGGTTTGTCTCCCTCCCGATCCCATCTTGTTTCATTTTTTCCCACCCTACCCCCCTCGATCCCCTGCCCTGCCTCTCAAATTCCTCCAATCAGAGAGAGCATATGAAAACTCTTTCTCTGGGCAGATTTTTTAAAAAGGCATTGTGAATACAAACCCTTACCACAAGTGCATAGTTTACATATGCTTGGCATATCATAGTGTTCGAGAATATTGATCTATTGACTGACTGAATGAAAAAGTGCCGAAGCAACAGAGAAAACGGACAATTTCATTTCAGCTAACATAATCAATGGCTGTCAGAAGCGATCAGAAGGGTTACAGAGAAGGAAGACGTAATAAAGGGGGGTACAGTAGGCTGAATAATGGCCCTCCGAAGATGTCCACGCCCGAATCCCCAGAAATACTTTATTTTACACAGCAAAAGGGACTTTGTAGATGACCCTTGAGGTAAGGCTCTTGAGACGGAGATTATCCTGGATAATCCAGATGGGCTGAATGTAATCACAAGGGTCCTTCTAAGAGGGAGACAGGCAGGTCACAGTCAGAAATGATTGTGTGACAGCAGAATGGGGGTGGGAGGGCGGCCTGGCTGCTGACTTTGAGCAAATAGAAAGGGTCAAAGAACACAGAAATTGGCAGATTCCTAAGAATTGAAGAGAATGGGTGTATTAGTCAACCAGGGATGCCAGAACAAAATACCACAGACCAGGTGGGTTAAAAAATAAAATTATTTTTCTCACAGTTCAGGAGTTTTGAAGTCCAAAGTCAAGGTGTCAGCTGGGCTGGTTTCTCCGGAAGCCTCTCCCCTTGGCTGGCAGGTGGATTCCTTCTCTCACAGCATTCCCACATTGTCTTTCCTCTGTGTGTGCACTGCCCTGGTGTGTCTCTGTGTACAAATTTCTTCTTCTTATGAGGACATCAGTCAGATCAGACTAGGGTCTCATCCTGAGGGCCTCATTTTTCACTCAATTACCTCTTTTTTTTTTTAAGATTTTATTTATTTACTTGACAAAGATCACAAGGCAGACAGAGGGAGAGAGGAGGGGAAGCAGTCTCCCTGTTGAACAGAGAGCCCAATGTGGGGCTGGATCCCAGAACCCTGGGATCATGACCTGAGCCGAAGGCGGAGGCCTTAACCCACTGAGCCACCCAGGCACCCTCAATTACCTCTTTTAAAGGCTCTATCTCCAAAACCATCACATTCTGAGATACTGAGGGTTAGGGCTCCAACATACCCAATTCAGCCCACAACAATAAGGTGGACAAGTGGAGGAAGTATTCAAAAGAAACCATCAGTCCCGCAGAGTGATAGATACGTAACAATTCAATGCAATGCAGAGAGATCCGGGATTGGATACCTGGAGAAAGGACTTTAGTGGGACAACTGGCAATGATCTGAATGAGGTCTGTAGATTAGGTAACAGTATTACATCAGCGATTATTTTCTGGTTTTGATCATGGTACTATGGTTATGCAAGATGTCAGTATTTAGGGAAGCTTGGGTGATGCCTATATGGGAACTCTGTACTATTTTTGCAACTTTTTTCTAAGTCTGGAATAATTTCGAAATGAAAAGTTAAAATTAAAACAAATTCAAATGAGGGGCGCCTGATGCTTTCCCTCTCCATCTGCCCCTTCCCTCCACTCACGCGTGCTTTCTTTCCAATAAAATAAATCTTTTAAAAAACTAAAATGAAATAAAATAGGAATAAAATGGATAGAAGGGAGAGAGAGAAAGAGAATAGGTTTGGAGGCGTCAGGGAAGGAAGAAAAAGCAAGGAGGACTGAGTTCCTTGGGGTCAGAGATGGTACCTTGAGGTCCCCATTGGACACCCCCCGCCTCACGCTTTTGGAACACTGCCTGGGAGCTCAGCATGTTTTGCGAGGCAATATTCAGTGAGTCACGCACTGAAGAGAAGGCATTAGGTCCCTCCAGCCTCCCTTCCCATTCACGAAAGGCTTCACATTTCGGGTTCCGGATTTGTTTCCTAAGTGACAGGACACCGGACTGTATGCGTTGGAAGCATGAATTCTTTGCATATAAACATTTAATATACACCGTCCTCTGGGTAACTGGATTTTGGTATCCCTTCTTTCGCACTTTTCTTCCCATCTCTTTCAACCTTTTTTTTTTTTTGAGATATAATTCACATACCATAAAATTCACCCCCCAAAGAACCGCACCCCCCGTCCCTTCCCCCCCCCCCCCCCCCCCGCCCACGCTCTGACAACCACGGGTCTATTTTCTGTCGCTAAGCATTAGCCTATTCGGGACATTTCATGAAAATGGATCATGCATTCCGTGCACCGGCCGCATTTTTAAAGCTCAGCCCCACAATGGCTAGTGGCCAGGGGATTGGACGGCGCGGGTTGGGTGTGCTCGGGGCGCCCAATGGCTCGGGAGCATCTGGGAAGACAGGTGCAGGTGGCGGAGGCCGCGCGGAGGGCAGGGCCGGCGGGCGGGCGTGGCCCAGGGAGCCGGCGCCGCGGTCGCTGGCGGGCGCCCCCCGCGCGGGCATGGCGGCTTGGTGGCCTGCGATGCTGCGCGCGGTCCGGCGCTACCCGTGGCCCACGAACGTGCTGCTCTACGCGGCGCTCTTCTCCGCCGGCGACGCGCTGCAGCAGCGTCTACGGGGCGGTCCTGCCGACTGGCAGCAGACGCGGCGCGTGGCCACCGTGGCCGTGACCTTCCACGCCAACTTCAACTACGTGTGGCTGCGCCTGCTGGAGCGCGCGCTGCCGGGCCGTGCGCCGCGCACCGTGCTGGCCAAGGTGCTGTGCGACCAGGCGATCGGCGGGCCCGTGGCCGTCTCGGCCTTCTATGCCGGTGAGGGGCTGGGATGGGGAATAGGGGCCAGGGCGAGATCCGCGGGGGGTAGGGGAGCAAAGGATCCAAGGTTGGGTGGACTGGAGCCAGGGGCTGGCGGGGCCCAGGGCTGGGGGCTGCAGGGGGCTGGGATGGAGCGGGAGCCGGGGGCTCTGGGATCCACTAGGGCTGGAGGCCGTGGGGGGCGGAGGTGGAGGCAGAATTTCAGGAGGTCTCCTGAGAGGGCCAGGGTTGGGGTTCCAGAGCTGAGAAGTCTGGGAACCAGAGATTAAGTGGGAGAAGTTGAGAGGTGGTGCCTGCGGGGAGTGAAGGGGTTAGGGTCCCGGATCGCCGCTGGGACTCCAGGGTTGAATATAAAGGTTTCAGGGGGGCCTGGGGCATCTGCTAGAACTGGAGGGAGCCAGGGCTGGGGTTCCATTTCCCCCTGGAAAAGGTCCACATGAATGTCGAGGCAATCACAGCCTGTGGCCATGGCGGCTGTCACAGCTGTGACCCAGTCTTGGGACCGGGCTGTCCTGCTCCAAAGAAAATCCCCTCCTGGGACTATGGGCCTCCTTTCCCCTGGCAGACACTCCTTTTCAACACACCAAGCAAATGCAAGGGGCCTCAAGACCATGGGAGCAGAGCAGGTGGAACCTGAGGTAGTAACAGATTTCCCCAGAAACTTCACGCTCAAGGCCTTAGTCCTGCTTTAGTAACAAGATTTTCCTTTGGGGTTCTGATCCCTCTGTGAAAAGCCAAGAAAATGTGAGTGGACCTTGGACCCTGCCTCAGAGAACTCTGCCTGTGAAAGTCCTGGGAGGCCCCTCCTCAGAATATCGCCCTGGGGCCAAAGGCCAGACTTTGGGAATCCTCCTTAGGGCCTTAAATACCAGAAACAGTGGGCGGGGTTCTGTGGCCTCCATCCTCCCTAGCATTTTCAATAGCCTGCAAGGGGCGGGGGGCTGTCACCAATTCCCCAAGAAAAGTCAAGGATCCTGGGCCTGGCATTTAGGGATAGAGAAGGTCTAGAGAAAGTGTGAGGGATAGAGAAGGTCTAGAGGAGACCCAAGAAGGTCTTCTCTGCAATAGCTGCTGATGCCTTCTAAACCAGGTCATGGGGGGGTCACATCAGTGTCTTGAAGAAACCGACACCGCCCTTTGGATCTTATTTTGGGGAGCCAGGTCTGGTTTCTTTTCTCACAAAGCCCAGAAGAAACATGAAGGACCTGGGAGTCTCAGCCAACCACAGGGCCAATGGGGTCCGTGGGGGCAGCGACATCAAGGACCCAGGGAGGGGGCGCTGCTGGGTGCCTGGTCCCACGGTGTGACTTCCAGGCCACATCTGCAGAGGGGCTCCTCAGGTCCATCACTACAATTGCCTTGAACCCCGGTGAAGGAGCTGGGACCAGGGGCTGGGCCTTTAGGAACTCAAACAACCCAGGAGGCAGATCCTCTTTGTTCTTCCTGTGTTACAGAGAAGGAAACGGAGTCTCCAAAGAGGTTAACTGACTTGCCCGAAGACAACAGAATCCAGTTCTCAGTCTTGAGTGTTGTTATGTCTGAAGACCGGAAGCGGCCCCAGGAGGCCGGTGATTTAAATCTGAGGCTCCTGACTCGGATTCCAACCCAGATGTCTGCTTTGCTTTGCTTTGTAGATTTCTGGCCCAATTTCCTTCCCTCTCTTCTTGTGAAAGCAAAGGGGGGGGGCGGGGCGGACGTTTGTTCAAGACATTTCCGATTTGGAAATTGCCTCTATCAGGTGATCCTTTGGGCTGGAGCCACCTTGGGGAGCTCGGCTTGTGATGGAGAGGTCTGGCCTGGAATCCACACCTCGGTTGGACTTGGTCCCGTATTAACCTCCCTGAGCTTCTTTTCTGCCTCTGTAACTCCCAGCCTCAGTGGATTGTTTGGGTGGGTGGGAGGGAACAGGTGTCCAATGAAATAAGGCATAAAAAGGGCTTAGTGCTTATTAATTATTATTTAGTGGAACCCGATACTACCAATTCGGGCCTGGGTATTCTTATAAATCCTGTTCTAAGAAGCTCTTGCAATTGACTAAAAAAATACCCCACTCATTTCCCCTTCCTCCTAATCAGATTTGAAGGAGACTTTTTAAAGCACTTTTATTTTTACTCCTTTCTAAAATAGGAGGATTTTTGTCTTTGCTCCCTGAATTTCTTCTCAGGGTTGTTGAACATACAAAGTTTTCAGGATGTTTTTAGAAAGGCTGAATTGGTGTTCTGCTTTCAAATTCTGATTGGGATAATTCTGATTAGAAGGCTAATGGGAACTTGGTAGTTGCCAAAATACCCAGGGTCCATCAGCCTTTTTTTTTTTTTTTAAAGAAGGAAATTAAATTTTTAGAAATTTATTTACTTAAAGATTTTATTCATTTGAGAGAGAGAGAGAGGGGGAGAGAGGAGAGAGCATGCACATGAGTGGGAGCTAGAGCACAAGCCAGGGAGAGGGGCAGAGGAAGAGGGAGAGGGAGAAGCAGACTCCCCATTGAGCAGGGAGCACCCATGTGGGGCTCCTTTTCAGGACCTTGGGATCATGACCCAAGCAGAAGGCAGATGCTTAACCAACCATCCAGGCGCCCTAAATTTTTAAAATGTTAAACATTTTACAAAAAGTTTGGAAGGCAGAGAAGAAAAGTCACTGATCATCCTGCTATCTGAACATTGTGAATTCTCTTACAATTTATATATAACTCATTTATATATAAATATAGATCTTTCTGCTATCTCTTTGGTACCCTGCTATTTTCACTTCATATATATCATTCCTTTAAGATTTATCTAGTTTTATTTTTTAAATTCTATTTTTTTTTTTAAAGATTTATCTCGTTTTAGAATGGAGGTCATGTTGTTGTCGCTGTCAGGTCAGAAGGGACATAATGAAGGAGAGGTACTGTGGGTACTTCGCATATGAGAAGAGAAAACTTGAACTGTTATAGTTTTCTTTCTACTGAGTCTTGCAAATTTCCTGTGGTGTGTGTTTATACAAATAGGTATGAGTATTCTCCAAGAAAAGGATGACATATTTTTGGACCTGAAACAGAAATTCTGGAATACATACAAGGTAAGACAGACTTTGGAAAGGCAACCAAAATCTTTTAGTATATTTGTAACATTAGATACATTTTAAGAAAACTAATTTTTTTTTTAAGATTTTATTTATTTGAGAGAGAGAGAGCAGGAGAGAGGGGAGGGTGAGAGGGAGAAGCAGACTCCCTGCTGAGCCAGGAGCCCAATGTGGACTCAATCCTGGGACTTCAGGATCATGACCTGAGCCAAAGGCAGTCGCTTAACTAACTGAGCCACCAGGTGCCCTTTAAGAACTACTCTCAAGGGTTCCAATTGGTTGGCACAAGGGTATAGTATTTTGACAGAGAGATCTTAAATTTGTTTTGAGAGAGAAATGAGAAGAAGCTTTAAGAGTGTCTCTAAGTTAGGAGCTTCTATACACGAGTGTCTCTGAGTTTTGGTCAATGTTCGCGATGATTCCTGTTTTTTAAATTTACTCATTAGTGACTACAGTTTATTTAGTGAATTTTGGAGCCAAAGAGGCTATTGCAAAATAGGAAAAGCAGAATGTGAGTAATGAATGGAATCGTTCCGGAGCCAATGTTCCAGGTGTCCATTCTTCTGAGTCCTTGTGAAGGATACCGTTCCCCAAGATTACTTCTAGGCTTAAAGCAAGTCGCCTGTTGTACTGTTTGCTCAGGGCAAATATTCACACCCCAGTCCAACAAATATTTATTACCTTATTCAATGGAGATTTATTGAGCAGTATCCGTGAGGCCTGCCAAAAGCAGGGATGCCTTCCATCTCTCGCCAACAGGAAGCTTGATTTTTACTAATCCCAATGAAGTGAAGCTTCAGGATTGTAGAATATATAGACTGGCCTTGGGCTTCGCACGTACTTAATTCCCTATCGGAAGCCGTGCCAAGCCACACCTGCTATTTATTGCCTGTACTCCTTCTGGAATTTTCTATTGACACTGAGCCCCAGCATCAGCATCGTCCGCTTGATGGTTGCAGGGAGATGACAGGGAGTGTGGCGGCCACATGCTCAGGATGGTCCTGTTCTTCCTTTTAAGGGGAAAGAGTATTCAGAACTTGTTACTTCTCCTGGGGCAGAAATTGTGAGCCTGTTGCGTCATCCGAATGCAATTTTCTTTGGCTCTATTTTGGAAAAAGGAACATGTTTTCCCACTATGTCATGGATCCTGTGGAGGTGTATACATTTAACATTTAAGAAAAGAGCAAGCGAGCAGAATTGGGGAAGAAAGAGGCTTTAAACGGGGATTTGCAGATGCTTCAAATTCTCCTCCTTTAATGAAGACACATGGGCCAACTTTGTTGGGTGTTGAACGTCATGCCAAGGATCCTGGATGTCAGCAATAGTGGCAAGAGAAACCAGCTGGAGTGTTATGGTAACCAAGTTCACATAAGACACAGGGAATGGGAATAGGGATAATTGGAGAGCTATTGAGGAGGTAGAATTGGTAGCTCTGGGTGAATGGTGGTCGGGGTAATGGGCAAGGACCATCTAGGATGACCCACAGGTTTTTGACTTGAGTCACTCCATGAGTGGTGACTTAATACTTGAGAGAGGACATAGTGAGCCAATTGGAAAAAGAAAGATAGTTGATTTCAGTTTGAGAAATGTTGAATTCTAGATGCCTTTAGAATATACAAAGGGAGGGCCACCTGGGTGGCTCAGTTGGTTAAGCATCTGCCTTTGGGTCAGGTCATAATCTCAGGGTCCTGGGATTGAGTCCCGCATCGGGCTCCCTGCTCAGTGGAGTCTGCTTCTCCCTCTCCCTTTGCCGGCTGCTCCCTCTTGCTTGTGTTCCTCTCGAATAAATAAATAAATCTAAAAAAAAAAAAAAAAAAAAAGAATATCCAATGGAGATTTCCAGGTGCACAGAGGAGAACCCAGAGCTAGGGATATTAGATATGGGAGAAGCTGGGTTAAAACCAGGCTCTCAAGTCAACTTGATCAATGAAACCAAGAGCACGAATGGTAGGAGTCGGAAGACAAGAAGCATCCAAAAAGAATCTGTCACTAAAGGCTTTCTTGTAGCCCAAAGGATATGTGAGTAAGAGGAGAACTGTTTTGTTTTTTGTTTTTTTGCCTTTTTGTTTTTTTTTTTTTTTTTTGGTGGCTAAGGAGTCAACCCCCTGCCCAAACCACATTCTTTGGATGAAGGTAGAAAGGACACTGCCTAGTTTATTTGTTGCTGACATGTAGGTACTATTTGAGATTTTGGTTGATTTGGTGGGGTTTTTGTCGTTGTTGTTGTTGTTGTTTTGTGTTTTGCAGATGGCATGCCATTTCTGTCTCTTTCCACAAGCTAGGGTAGGGGGGCTCAGGAATATTACCTCTTAGAAATTTATCTGATTATTACATTCATCTCTTTCATCGTTTTTGAAAACTTTAATTTGGAAATAATTTCAAACTGATGGAAAAGTAACATGAATAGTTCAAAGAATACCCTTTACCCATAGTCACTCACGGTTAACGTTTTGCCCATTATTACTTTCTGGCCGGATCCATCTATATCCATCCATCTTTCTGTCTGTTTCCTGGAAGCATTTGAGACTAAGTGGCACAGAGAATTACCCTTTACCCTAGGACATTTAAGTACCTATTTTCTAGGTATCGATTTTCTAAGAATAAATAGTTCTCTAGGAAACTCCAGCAGAGTTAGCAACTTCAGTACATTTAACAATGGTAGTGAGCCTTTTATCTCATTCACCTTCCTTCTGCCATGTTTGTCAATCGACTATCTGATGGCCTTTATAGCATTTCTTTTTCCTTTTAAAGATTTTTTAAAAAATTTTTATTTATTTGACAGACAGAGATCACAAGTAGGCAGAGGTAGGCAGAGAGAGAGAGTGGGGAGCAGGCTCCCCGCTGAGCAGACAGCCCAATGTGGGGCTCGATCCCAGGACCCTGAGATCATGACCCAAGCTGAAGGCAGAGGCTCAACCCACTGAGCCACCAGGCGCCCCTCTTTTTCCATTTAGTACAGCATCCAATCCAGGGTCAGGTAGTGCGTTTAGTTGCTGGGTCTCTTTAGTCTCCACTAACTGGGAACTTTTCCTCAGCCTTCTCTTACCTATTACAACACTAATATTTTTGAAGAATGCAGTTCTGTTCCCCCTCCCCCAAACAACAACAACGAACAAAACAGCAGCAACAACAAATCATTCCCTTTTGGGGGGCATTTTGTAATACACAAGAATGTCAGTTAAATTTATTCTATAGTAAGAAATAATAGAATATATTATTTGCCTTAAATCTTTTTTTTAACAAGAAAAAAAAATCAAACATTTTAGATAAAATAGAGTCACATATGGCTCTTACTGCCTGAAATAGTATAAGATATTATTACTTTTTAAAAAGATTTTATTTAGGGCGCCTGGGTGGCTCAGTTGGTTAAGGATCTGCCTTCAGCTCAGGTCATGATCCTGGAGTCCCAGAATCGAGTCCCACATTGGGGGGGGGGTCCCTGCTCAGCAGGGAGTCTGCTTCTCTCTCTGACCCTCTCCCCTCTCATACTCTCTCTCTCACTCTTTCTCTAAGTAAATAAATAAAATCGTTTGAAAAAAGATTTATTTATCAGAAAGAGAGAGAGAGAGAGAGAGGAGGGGGAGGGGCAGAGGGAGAGGGAGAGGAAGAACCAGACTCCCCACTGAGCAGGGAGCCCCAAGATGGGCTTGATCCCAGGACCCTGAGATCGTGACCTGAGCCGAAGGCAGACGCTTAAGTGATGAACCACCCAGACACCCAAGTAGAACATATTATTAACAAATCATTTCATGAAGAATGACAAATTTAAAACTTGACCGATGATCCTTTTATAAACATATTCCCATAGCCTTTGCCTGGGCTAACGTATACATATATGTTGTTATTTTGAAAGCGGCTGTTTAACAGAAATGGTGCTGATTCTGGACGCCTTTTCATTCTGGACCTGTGACTATGACTCCTATAATCGCCTCACACCTCCAAGCTCTTTGCACTGTTCCCACCCTCTCCTACTGGAGGGACTTTAAGGAGTCTGATGTAATCGGCTTAGTCTGAAATACAATCTCACCTCCGGGTTTTATCTGCCTGGTATTTCTTAATCTTCTGCATTGCTTCTTTGTGATTAAGAGGCAAACTAATTGAGTTTTTCTGTATTCCAGAGCGGTCTGATGTACTGGCCTTTTGTGCAGGTGAGTTTCCAACTACTCAGAATGCTAACTAATGGGGGTGCCTGGGTGGCTCAGTCACTGTCTGCCTTCAGTTCAGGGCATAATCCCAGGGTCCTGGGATCCAGCCCTGCATCGGGCTCCCTGCTCGGTGGGAAACCTGCTTCTTCCTTTCCCACTCCCCCTGCTGTGTTCCCTCTCTCACTGTCAAATAAATAAATAAAATATTTTAAAGAAAATTTTTTTAAAAATGCTAACTGATGGCAGAGGTGGACATGGAGCTCTAGAACACTCTTTCTTTCTGTTACAGCTTACCAACTTCGGCCTGGTTCCTGTTCACTGGAGGACGGCTTATACGGGACTCTGTGGTTTTCTGTGGGCCACCTTCCTTTGCTTTTCACAACAGAGTGGCGATGGCACGTTCAAGTCGGCTTTTGCCTTCCTTCATGTAAAGGAGGCCAGTGCCCTTGAAAGGCCCCCCAAGGAATGAGAAGCCAAGGACTCCCTAGCAATGCCGATTTCCTCTCTTCCTTCTTTCCCTCCTCCCTCCCTCCCTCCCTCCCTTCCTCCCTTCCACCCATGCAGTGGCTTGCCTACAGATAACAGTCTACTTACCAGTTACATGCCCCATTTTGGAGAATGACTCTCACATAGACCCCATTGTTTCATTATCCATGAGTACTTAAAATTTTATCCAAACCTTTTTTTTTCCCCCATTCTGGTCTGAAAGCCTCACTTCTCTAATATTTTTACTCCTCTAACTCTTTGGTTAATACTGGTAACAGTGACGTCATGGCACTCTGCAGTTACTCCGATTTCTATGCTTATATTTTAACGCTGATTGATTTAAAGACACTGTTTTGATCATTTACACTTCACATCTAAAATCTCAGGTTACCCCCCTCCCCCAACACATACTTTTGGGTCAGTTTAACTTTTATACCAAAAGTAGTCCTTAGAGAAAATTTCTATTTACATAGAGCTCAGTCGAGGAGAAGACTGAATAACCAAATTTTTTTCTCTCGAAATACTTTATATAATAATTTATGGTTATACTGATGGTCAGTTCTGTAAGTGCATTTTATACTGTCAAAAAACGGTATCTGATTGGTGTGTCCCATATGGAATGTATTTTTCAGAGATCTTCTACTTTTGTAATTTCTTAGTTAAGTGCTTTTTAGTTAATGTGTTCTAATTTTGAACCTATTCAGTTGACTGAAGGACCCCATTTTACTAGACAATAAGAAATTTACAAAATTTCTGGCTTCTTAAAGACATATATTGAATGAAGTTTCTAAGAAAATGAACAATTTTTCTTCCTCTGGAAGGAAGAACTCTACTCCATAGATTTCCAGGGGAAAGAATTACCCCCAATTTCACACTGAGATTATATTTTTTAAAAAATCAATGCTTTCCAGGAGTACCTGTGGCTCAGGTGGTTGGGCGTCCGTTTCTTGATCTTGGCCCAGGTCTTACTCGCTCAGTCATGAGTTTGAGCCCCAAGCTGGGCTCCACGATGGGCGCCGAGCCTACTTAAAAAACAAACAAACAAACAATGCTTTCCAATAAATCGTTATCAGTAATCTTTAAGCTAGACATGAGAAACTGGATCCAGACTTTCAGATTTACTCAGTTTATCTAACCTCAAAACCAGTGGATGTAAAAATGATAGGACTATCTCAAGAAGTTTCAGCAAACTTCACCTAAGAATTGTACCACAATGCTGCTGCTTCCGGTGAAGTCTTTTTTTTTTTTTTTTAAGATTTTGTTTATTTGACAGACAGAGATCACAAGTAGGCAGAGAGGCAGGCAGAGAGAGAGGAGGAAGCAGGCTCCCCGCTGCGCAGAGAGCCCGATGTGGGACTCGATCCCAGGATGCTGAGACAATGACCTGAGCTGAAGGCAGAGGCCTTAACCCACTGAGCCACCCAGGTGCCCCTTCCGGTGAAGTCTTGTACAAATTTTAAGGTGGGAAGCACTGAAATGTTAATAATACATTCATCTTGCGAATTTGTATTTAAGACTAATTGAGAACATACCCTTCAATTTTTTATGCACCTAATTCATAATATAAATTAACGTAGGTTCTAAGTATCTCATGTCTATGATTTATCTGAATTTAATCGGTATTAACCTGTATTACCTTATTGGGACAATAGTAAGGAAATTTCTAGATAGCTTCTAAAATAATTTGTTACCTACACTGTTTTGAAAGTCACTAATGTCACGGAAAAGCTGTTCCATCATACTTAAGACAAATTCTGTCATTAGAAATTGCATCTTGAGTAACTATGCGAAAGTACTAACTGGCAATTTCTTAGATGAGCTTCAATATTACTTTTAGGATGGAAGAGCAGTGTTTGCATTTTGTGTCAAAGTCATTGGGAAAATGAACCTTGTTTAAATTGTCGAGAGGAAGAAGGCTTATTGTTCATAAATGAGCACACCTTTATCCATCTCTACCCAAACCTGTGCTACTCTACGCTGTAGAGAATGTACAGCATGTGTTCTCCGCATTTCTGCAAGTATGTACTTAGGATTTTTATGCAATAGTGCTTTTGTGTTTTTGTGGGTGAAATGGAAGGTATTCCAACTAACACAATGTTTGTCTATTTTAAAAAGCTGCCAGTCTTGGTATAATACACTCTGAACCTTCCCGGGTTTGCCACTGAGCAGGTGGCCCCTACCCTTCCTCCAGATTTTCCTATTCTGTTAAGTGTCTTTAACTTGGTTGTGTGCTGTTTCACCAGGTTCTTCTGGCCCCTGTGCTTGCTCAGGCAAAGGGAAAAACCCATTATTCATTGCCCTTGACAGAGTGGAGACAGACTGGATTTTCAATTTCCAGTATGTGTGGAAAACAAAAGGGAAGTTTGAAAGGGGAATCTGAGAAATGTCGAAAGCATTTAAAAAATTTTAAACATTTTTTAAAAATTTAAATTCAATTTTAAATTCAATTTAAAATTTAATTTCAATGACCATAGAATGTATTATTGGTTTCAGAGGTAGAGGTCGGTGATTTGTCAGTCTTTTATGACACCAGTGCTCCTCCCGTCATGTGCCCTCCTTCATGTCCATCACCTGCTACCCCCTCTTCTCACCCCACTCCTGTCCAGCAACCCCCAGTTTGTTTACTATGATTCAGAGTCTCTTTCGGTACGTCTCCCTCTGATTTCATCTTGTTTTATTTTTTTCTCTCTTCCCCTAGATCCTCTGTTTCAAAAGCATTTTTTTTTAAAAAAAAAGCTTATAAGATACTGAATTCTGATCCTCCTGTAAGTTAGCTTGAACTCAGGGATCACAAATCCTGCCGTAGGTCCAGGCTTTTGGGCTAGCTACCCTGTGGCTCAAATAGCGTCTCCCAGCATTCCTTTTTTCTGACTACCTGATTGTCACTGATTGTCACTGATTGTCACCACTGACCACCACCACCAGGGAGGCTGTCTCCTTGGCCCTGCTACCATTAAAATTAAGAGCGCTCCCATCCCATCTTATTGGATGCCTGGTTTCCATCTCCAGGCCTGGAAATGGGCCTCTTACTTAGATAACTCAGAAACGATGTCTCAATCGAAGGGAGAGCTTTCTGTCCACACCAATGGATGTGACCATTGTTATCATCCACCAGTATAACCGTAACCATAACCATGATGATAACTGTGTGGAAAGAATCATGGCCTATTCCAAGAATTATGGACTAGAAGTAAAAAGATTGATAATCAAATTCTCAGGACACTTAGTTCAATTCATCATTCAGTGCTTGAGCAGTGCCTGTGACAAGTGGTCAATAGAAAGCTTGGATATTACCCAAGCAAAGCCACCCAGCCACAGGTTACTGGCATAAGCAGTGGGTGCTTTGAAATCATGCTGCCTTGGGTAATCAAGGAAGGCTTCCTGGAGGAGATGCCTTAAGCTGGGTCCTGAAAGGATGGAAAGTCACAAGACTAAAGGCCTGTAAATTGGAATGGGGATGAGGATCAGATGAGATGAGATGAGATCTTGAAAGAGAAAGCTGAGAAAAGGTCTGTAAGTTCTAACATAGAGGGACATTTCCATTGACCGTTCCTCAACTTTGGGTAATGTAAATGGTCCTAGCCAGCTTACTTGTGTTTAAATATCATGTAACACCTGCAACTTTTCAGTCTTTTTCATTTGTAGGAGAATTAATAAAAGTGATTCCCTTTTATCTATGTCATGGTTGGTTGAGACAAAATTAGGGAATGTGAGAGTTTGTGTATGTTTAAAAATGTCCCGGTACTGGGTTTGAGAAAAGCATGCAAAAATATTTTTCTTGGAATCTGTGTAGTAGGTGATTTGGTAGACAAAGTAATTGATTATTTTTCCTAAAGATTTATTTGTTTGTTTGAGAGAAGGGGCTGGGGAAGGGGCAGAGGGAGAGAGGGAGAGAGACTCTCAAGCAGACTCCGTGCTGAGCACTGAGCCTGACTCAGGGCTTCATCTCAGGACCCTGAGATCATGACCTGAGCCGAAATCAAGAGTCAGATGCTTAATTGAGCAATACAGGTGCCCCCCAAGTAATTAATTATTGACCCCCCTATACAGTCAGAGAATTTGGCCTTTGGGGAGGTCATACAAATGAGGGGATGCTTCAGGAAAAGTTTTTCTCATTTCTCATTTTATCATTTCTCATTTCTCATTTGTATCCATTTGTATGGATGCTTTTGGGGCCAAAATAAAAACTGTTTCACGACCAGAAGGTATAAATACAGATAGGGTTCAAAGAGGGAAGAAGCATTTTCACATTCTAGGACTTCATTAATAATTATAATTTTGGTTCTTTAATACATTGAAGAAAAATATATTCCTTTCACAATAAAATCTGTAGATAAAGAGATCTAACTTTGCCGTTTGAGGTTGTATCTAAATAGGGTCCCCAGATCAACTATGTTAACCACAACCAACCAATTAAAGGTAGGTAGTCTCTTCAATTGAGGTACATTACCCAGAACTACAATTTCTAACTCATGTATCACTGCTTGATACTTTACTTGTTTACTGTTCTTCTTCCAAGGATTGTCATCCCTTAGACTTTGTTTGAAGCTCTCAAAAAATATTTTTCCCTGGGGCACCTGGGGGGCTCATTCATTGGGCATCTGCCTTCGGCTCAGGTTCTGATCCCAGGGTCCTGGGATGAAGCCCCGCATCGGGCTCCCTGCTCGACGGGAAGCCTGCTTCTCCCTCTCCCACTCCCCATCCTTGTGTTCCCTCTCTCACTGTGTCTCTGTCAAATAAATAAATAAAATCTTTAAAAATATATGTATATATATATTTTTCCCTGTGTGGGCAATTTGCTTTTAATTCAGTGGCACTTTATGTGAATTTCTAGAGTATGTGCCAAAACAAATTCTATCCAGAACACACGCAACATATTCTGGAGGCAGCTTTTATTCGGAAATTAGGTTCATCTTCTGAAAGTATTAGAACGTTAGTACATTTTTGTGTCTCAAGATTTAGACTTTGTATTGGCTACCTTCAATCTACTTTACTGATAATGTTTGGAACCTAAAGGAACCAAATCACAGAAAATGCAATTCATTTTTTTAAAGGTTTTATTTATTTCTTTTGAGAGCGAGTGAGCAAAAGACCACAAACGGGGAGGAGGGGCAGAGGGAGAGGGAGAGGGAGAAGCAGACTCCCGCTGAGCAGGGAGCCCAATGCAGGGCTCCATCCCAGGACCCCGAGATCATGACCTGAGCTGAAGGCAGATGCTCAACCGACTGAGCCACCCAGGCGCCCCAGAAAATGCAGTTTAAAAAATGATTGAAAGGGGTGCTTGGCTGGCTCAGTCGGTTAAGCATCTGACTCTTGATCTCAGCTCAGGTCTTGATCTCAGGGTTCTGAGTTCAAACCCCACACTGGGCTCCACGCTGGGCATGGAGTCCACTTAAAAAAAAAATTGGAAATTTTCCTTTTAATACTGTTAATGGCCAATAAGTGAAAGGGGGAAATCTGGAGTTCAGAGATCAAGTGTGTGCTTGGAGTTTAAAGGTTAACAGGAAGAGCTGTGAACGGTAGCCAACCAAGGGGAACAGAAGAGAGTAATTAATAATTGAGTGACATTTTGGGTGTATGTCTGTTCAAAGCATTTCTTTTCCCAGTTCCCTTCCCCTCCCTAAGTCTGTCTTTCCTTACATGAATCTTTTCTTTTTAAGATTTTATTTATTTATTTGACAGAGATCACAAGTAGGCAGAGAGGCAAGCAGAGAGAGAGAGAGAGGGAAGCAGGCTCCC